ATGGAGTCTGGCCACAGAGTGATCCAGAATATTCCCACTTATTTTTTTTTTAATCCTGAAAATACAAAAGTCAGTTCACATTTTACTTGGTTTTATTTGTGTTTTATTACAACCTTTGCTTTTTTATTCTCTGCCTGGCACTGTAACACCACAAAAGAATGTCTGAGTTTTGCTTTTAAATTCTTTTTAGCCATATGAAATCAGGACTCAACAAAATACTAATTCATGTTCTGAAGTTTTTCATTCTGTGGGATGGAGGTGAGAACTCAATATGTGAACTGTCATCAAAAGTCACACAGTGAACACTGAGGGACTCAGGGCGTCACCATCGATAGGGGAGCCTAAGGAAGCAGTTTTTCTCCTACAGATGAATCACACATAACTGAACACCACCCTTAATTCTCTTCTCAACTCACAATCCTAATGGGAAGCGATCATCATGAGTGTGTGAAGTGGTGCACAAGTGGAACCGTGAGCCTCTTTACTCAGAGAACTGTGCACCCCCACACTCTCCACCCCTGCCCGCCTCCACCACAGCCACATACACTCTGCCCTGTCAGCTCTAGGCTACTGCCCATCTGAGCCACAGCCTCCTACAGCTCTGGATTGTCATAAGTCTTGTTTGGATGCAGAACAGCTTAGAAATCTGTTCTGTCCTGAGCCTTCACAACAGGGGACTCACCATCTTGTGAGAATCAACATTGCTTATGGTTTTATTTATTTATTATGATCTTAAAATTAAAGTGACTTTTCCAAATGTTTGGGTTTACATGTCACATAGATGGGTTTGTGAGTTGACGGTTTCCTGTGGTCCCATCCCCTTCTCAGCACCACCTCTGTGGTCATCTTCAGAGCCTTGAACTCCTCCATGGGAGGGGAGAAGACACACCATTGCCTGTTCAGCCCAGTGTTGAACGTGAACAGCACCAAAACAGATGGTGGCTACCGCGTGTCCTAACTGCTGGGGAACGGAAAGGCAATTCTGTTTCTGACATTTCAGGATGATCAGTTTTAGGCCCTCTCATGGACTGGGGACAACTGGATTTTCTTCTAAATTCATATGTGTCAAATACTATTTTCCTTCTCTCTCAATGCAAACAAATACTATCAGGAGTACAGAATGTCCATTTCAGCACAGGTGATACACAGTTTCCCAGACCAATGGCAGGTACTTACTATAGGCTGACCCCACAGGTCAGGGCCTTTAGTTTATTTATGATCTATTATGATCTTATGATTTTATTTTTGATTTATTATGATCTTAAATTTAAAGTGACTTTTCCAAATGTCTGGGTTTACATGTCATGTAGATGGGTTTGTGAGTTGACGGTTTCCTGTGGTCCCATCCCCTTCTCAGCACCACTTCTGTGGTCAGAACTGGTGGCTCAGGCTGGAAGTCCTCCAAGATGGTGGTGAAGGAGGCAGGATGGGACCTGTAGTCCTGAAGGTGGTGCAGGGCACCCGCTCTGAGGAAAAAGAGTGAATCAGGCTGACTTTCAAAGGCATAGGCCAGCTGAGCAGGCAGGGCTGAGATAACCTCTCAAAGCTTCAGTCCTCCTCCCTTGGGACAGGGAGTTGCGGCTTTTTAAATGAGCACTGGGATAGGAGCCTAGAGAGTGTCATCCACTGGTGACACAAAAAGACACAAGGACGGGGCTGGGGATGTGGCTCAAGCGGTAGCGCGCTCGCCTAGCATGTGTGCAGCCTGGGTTCGATCCTCAGCACCACATACAAACAAAGATGTTATGTCTGCCGAAAACTAAAAAATAAATATTAAAATCAATCAATCTCTGTCTCTCTCTCTCTCAAAAAAAAAAGACACAAGGACACCTAGACATATCCAGCTCTCCCGGTACAGGGTAAAATGCCAGCCAGTCTATTCTGAAATGCGTCAACGGCTCTAGCTCAAAGCCTCTGGAAAGGTCAGGTCATTCTTCACACACACATGGATTCACTGGTCCATCTGTCAAACTCATCTAACTCTATTCATGACAAAGTTGAGGACCTGTGCTCACATCTGCTCGCTCCCTGAAGAAAGTAATTACATTTAACCAAAACAATTTATGATAGAAATGATTCCCTGGTCTCTGTCATTTATAGAAATAAGAAGAAAAATACACATGGTCTGGCATTAGAATGTACCTACTTTTTCAAAGAATAAACAGATGAGGATCCAAATTAGGGTGTTTTACATCCACTTACCAATGCCAGCTGCTCACTGGAAATAATAACGAGGTCTGAGAGTGACCAGGTCACACAAAGCACCAAGAAGACATGGGGACAGACACACAGTGCTGTTTCTAAAGAATCATTTGGATGGGGGAAAGGGTAATTACCAAGTAGAGCAGTAGAGCTCAATCTTCACCGTAAGGGAATGGGGTGCTCACACCCTGGCAAGGTCAGCAAGGCTGTGCCCACAAAGCAAACACATCCACCTTATGGAGGGAAGCCATGGACAGAGCCTGGGAGCCCAGGTATGGCAAACTTGAACCCCCAAAAGAGAGGCCTGGGCCTTGCTGTCTCCATGAGGTCATGGATGGAATGGAAGGAGGCAGAGAATCAGGCTTCCTCCTTCGCCTGTGCAGTCCCATCTCAGATAAGCTCACACATACCCCAAAGCCTCAGCGTCCACCCACTCTAACCACATGGCAACATGTGCATTGATGACGGTGTTTAGTACTCTCTGCCAGGGGCCAGAGGCATGGGTATAAAACAACATGGACTGGAGAAGAACACTCATAATACATGTTAATCGCCCCATGTGCAATCTCCACAATGGGCTAAACAGACATAATTACCTCTCCCCTTTTCACAGATGAGAAACTAAAGGTTAGGGAAGTCAAGCAACTCACCTAGAGATACCCAGCAAGACACTGCGCTGTCACTTCCTTGCACGTTTATGAACTGACACCACCTCCAAGGTTTGCTGAAGTAGGGTATGAATCTCCTGGAGAGGAGGACACTGTCTGAAGGCAGCCTCAGGACCCCAGTGAATTTTCCAAAAACCAGAAGGTGATTTGAAAAGAGATCATTACCACAGAAAAATCCAGAACATCCAACATGTCCAGTGATCAGTTAATTTTCAATCTTGAGTACTCTGCAAAACCCAACTATTTCTTGATTTTCTTGATTAGGGGAGGGGGGTGAGAAGGAGATGCCAAGGATTTTATAGCTTTAACTATTTTCCTGGATAAGAGAGGTGCACAGCATTTTACACGCAACTGTGATTTTAAGAAAGTGTTCTTGGGAAGTAAATGGGATACTTCCTGCGTGGTGCAAGCTCAGCGCCTGCACAAGGACCCCACATGTAGTTGGCACCACTGCAACCCAGGAAATCCTTGGAGCTACACAAGGAGGCAAAGGGCAAGAGGTTTAAAGCAAATAGTTTTGAGAGGGGGAGGGAGCAAGAAGACAAGAAAATCTACTGAGCCTGAAACTGTTGTAATTACTAACCAACAGGCCCCCACCACAGGGCAGATTTTCTACACTTAGAAAATCCCTGGCAACTTCAGGTAGCTACTGCTCCTGCTCCAGGAGAAATGCCATGATCTCATTTTGAGGATTGGCCTCAGTTTCCCTACTGTCTTTAACGGGCTTTAAGATGTGTTTATACATACCAGTATGTCTGTGTGATTCCAACGGCACATGTATGTATAGGAACATATCTACATGCTTGTACATACAGCAGCACTCCTTGAGGGTCCTTCTGAGGTCTCAGAGGGCTACAGAGAAAGGCTGTGTGAAATTCCCAGCTACAGCTCTGGTTTCTAATCTACAAGTCATTTGTGAGACACAAGGCAGGGACCTAGGACGCCCCAGAAGAATTTTAGGTATGAACAATGAACTCACTAACTCCTTCCCCCTCACACTGCTGAGAGAGGGAAGGGGGGTGGAAAAAGAAAAGGAAAGCAAAAGCAAACACCGCAGGACTGCCTTTACTTTACTGAAGGGCAGAGGGACCGGCTCCTGCTAACCATGGTTATTTTCCATAAGATAAACACCCTCTGCATCGAGTTGTCCTGGCCACTTGGAAGCCCCTCTGCACACAGGCCTTCTCTCTACCTCCGTGTTTTCTCAAGCACTTGTTCAAAAACACATTTAAGTGGAATGTTTTCGTTTCTGCAGATTGCATTAATTATGGGTTCGCAAGCATGGCAGGCGCACGAGGTCTGCCCGAGCTGGGCGCTGCAGACAACCGGCCTTGGCGGAGCAGCCGGCCGCAGTTGGTTTGGCCCGCTGCGGACGCCGCTCAGCCCCCATCGCAGCTCGGCATTTGGCACCGAGAGCCTCAGCCCCGCCAGGGCTGCAACTAAGAGAGACAAACAGAGCGATCCTTCTCTGTGCCCCATGCGCTCAGGATCGCGCCTGCCCGTGCGCAGCATCTTGCCACTGAGGAGAGGACCCGGCTGGAGCAGAGAGCGCCTCCTGGCCCGTTTCTACCCTGAGAAGAGAGGAGAGAGCTTATTGTCCCTCCTTTATTAGAACTTAGTGAATATCTGTCATCTGCTTCTTCCTGCTTTCTTTAGAGGGTCTCTAAGAGGGACAGGCCCAGTAGTCGGGCCCTCGACGCGCCCCCGTAGCCCAGCGAGTGGCCACAGGATCTGCAGGGCTCCCTACCAAAAAAAACGACCACCTAATGCAGTCAGGCCAGATCCCTGCGGGGTGAGGTGGACTGAGTGCTCAATGGGTCGCCCTGGGGACAGCCAGCAGGGCGCCTGCGTCCCATCCCTCCTAGTTCCCGCGCAAGTCCCTGCCCCATGAGAGTGCATCAACGCCGGACACCCTGACTCTCACCCATCTGGAGCTGGGAGGACTCGGGAGCCCGCATTAGCCGGGAGCCATCCGCCGGACACGCACGCGGCGGGACGGGTCTGGGTCCCACCTGCTGGAGTCACGCGGGCGGAGGCGCCAACACCCTGAAGGCCACCTGCTCCCCTTGTCTCCGTCCGGAGGGGAGCGTGGGGACCCGGCCGGGCGGCACTGCCAGGTCCCGGGCTTACCGTGAGCGCTGAGAACTTCTGCGCGGGCGCGGGCGGCAGCAGCCCGGCGAGCAGCGGCAGCCAGCAGAGCTGGGGCAGCAGCATGGCGACCCAGCGCGGGACCGCGCGGACGACCCACAGAGAGCGGCCGCGCCCCGAGCCCCAGTCCTGAGCCTGGCACCGCGGCCGGGAGCCTTGGGCTAGCGCGACCGACCCGGCGGGTGGAGGCGGCTCCTCCGCAGTCCTCGCTTCCAACCGCTCCGGGCCCGGACTTGACCAGCTCAGCTGCAGGCACTGAGCGGTCCTCCAAGTACTTTGCGGCTTCCCTCGCTCCTGTCAAATACCCTCAGAACTTCCCGGATCCTCCCCCTGCCACCCCACCCCCGCCCTCTTCCTTCCCTCTCCCCTCTCCTCCCCCAGCCCCACCTCCTCCCGCGGGCCGCAGAGCTGGGCTAGGCTCAGAAGCGCGGTCCACAGAGGGACTGCCCTGGGAGCAGTCTGCTGAAAGGAGAGGGAGAGGGGCCACCAGGGTGGGCTAGCGCCCCAGTGTATTTTCTTGCCTGCTTTCTTGAGCTCACACTAGTTGCACATGCACTCACATATATAAGCGTGCATTCACAACCACATGTGCGCCCAGCCAAGGAGAGTTCCAGGGCACAACCATGTAACCAATGTCCAGTCTTGCCCCAGTGCAGAGTCTGCCCACTCCAGACCAGCCCTTGTGCCCTGTTCATCCACTAAGGTGAGCCTGAAGCTTTGGCCAGTCCACCAAGCCCAGTGGCTCTCCTTGAATGCGGAACTCCAGGACACCTTCTGCAGACCAGAAATGGCCCTCAAATGTGCTGACTGATCAACTGGCTCCCAGAGTAGGGAACCGAGAACAAATATCCCAACACCAGGGCAGTCTCTTTACACTGGATCATCCACTGGAGGGGGTGGACACACAGATCTGGGAGGGTCTGACTTGAGCAGCAGCCTTAATCCTAGGCCAGTGTGATTGGACTGTGATTAGGCATACTGTATAGATAGAGGTGCTGCTTTTAGCAGCTCTTTTGGAGCATTTCAGGTGTTTGTGCAAGGAGCACAGGGTGGTGGAGGCTGTTAACCTGTCCCTGGAGACTTGATGGAAACCAAGAGAAGTCTGCACACCCAGATTCTGGAAGACATCCACTGCAGAAAACATTGCTGAAATAGTTTAAGCCTTGGCTTGTAACTTTACAGGAAAAGGCCCTAATTCCATCTCACACAGAAAGCCAACAAAGTGAAGACTTTCGAGAACAATGAATCAATTGACTTGTCAGGGGCTCTAGGGAAATGAACAGAATAGCAAATCCGCATCTGAGCTGTCATCTGCCGTCAGGTTCACCGCTAAGAACCAGAGGGCAGGGGGCTGGCTCAGAAAGTTCAAGACTGGCTGCTTGGAGGGGCTGCACTTCTGCAGGCGTCCACTCGGCCATCTGCAGTGATGCCGGGGACCAGGAAAGATGGCAGAGGAATGATCCTTCCCAGGAGGGCTCCTCTAAGAACTCTCCTTCAAATTCCAAAGCCCAAAGAATCTATTAAACACTTAAACACATTCCTGCTGGTTTGAGGACACAGAAGGAAATTATAATAAAACTCCTCAGGGATTGCTCTTGGGTCCAGAGAAACAGGTGAGCATGCAGCTGTGAGCAATTAAGTAAATAAGGACCAATGTGAGGCAACGTCAGTAAAAGTTAGAGTAAAAATAAAACCAATCAATAAATGTTGCATACCACTGATTCTAAAATAATCTGAAGAAGAAAATGTACACTCAGAGCTGGCATATCTCCTTTAAACATCCTTTGCTATTGAAGATTTCATTTCTACTTTATTGAGAGTGCTGCAAGTCATGGGCTGCTGCTATCTGATATGTTGCACTTCTCTGCAGAACTCAGAAGCCTGAGAGCACTGGCATTTATTACCTGCATCAGCTACAAAGTGGCAATCAAGAAGTAGACCTAACCATTCCCATTTTACAGATGAGGAACAAAAGCAAAAGAGAAAAATGCCTCAGCCAGATCTCCTAAGCCTCGACATCAGAACAGAATCCAGATGTCGCAATATAGAATTTTGACCCATCCACTTCACTTCCCCTGGAGATACAGATGGCAGAAGGAAGCTTCTTGACTCTCCAGGCCTGGAGTCCGAGATTCCTGCATTCTTCATGTGTTGACTCCAGAATCCTCTGGCAATTCCAGAAATATCAATGAAATGTATTTGTCCAAGATGCTGACAGATGAGGCAGGATTGGAGCCTTCAAAGACCTTGTAAAATCTGGACAGACTAATGTGGATCGAAGGCCAAATTTCATTTTCTCAAAGACCATTGAAGTGGAATTCGGAGAGATATTGTTTCCATTTTTGTGGAGAAAAATAATACACTCATTTAAAACCAGGAGATAGTGTTTTTCTGTCTGTCATGCTCAGGTCTCCCAGGAAGCCACTACTGGCCTGAGCAGCTGACACCACACACCGCTTCACCTCAAGATTTCTGAGGGTTCCCACAGGACAGAAAGAAGTCCTCTTTTCTTGGAAATAGCCTACATTTTAAATTAAGAGGTGGCAAAAGGCCCATCTTAAAGTGTGGCCTATGGATCCAAAATTTAAATTTCTTCCACTGATCAGTCACAATAAAGAGGAGCAAGAAAAATCAATGACCCAGAACTGGCTCTTCTCACAGGTCTCAGCTCACTTCCCCTCTTCCGTCACTAATACTGACTCACTTTCCTATTACTTTTACTATGCAAAAACTGCAAAAGGCTTGTGTTCTTAACACAGACATGATATAATTTAATTATCATTCCTGGCTTATTTGTGTTTAGCCAGAGAGCTCATTGTCAGCCATTTTCCATATTCCCACAGTGTGCAAGGTACAGGCTTAATCGAATGTCCCTTTGTTGTTCTGCGACTTCCAAAAGCTTTCTTGGTCATAATTCTGAGTGACACTGAGACCAATTGGAGTGGGTGCGCCTCACCACTGTGTGGAGCATACTGGCCGCCTGTCAGCTGCTCATCTAACCGACGCATGACCCAGGTTTTATTCACTCATAGGAAGAGGAGTCTTCTGAGTTCACTGGGGTTCTTAAGTAAATTCTCCATGATTGACCTTTTGACTGCCCCCACTGCTGGAAACACAGCAGACAGCAGTCTGCGAAGGACAGGGCCTATAGGATGGGGTTTGTGAAGTCTGTCCCCTCTACTCCACCTGACAGTTCTCATGGGCAGACCAGTGGTCCCACTTCTATCCCAGGCTTGCGCTGTTCAACTCCAGAGACCTGGGCGTCCATGAGAGTGACCGACACAGACACACTGTGAATTTCTAAGTCGGGGAGAACCTGCTGCCTGGGGAGGCAGACGTCACGTGCCCTCACAGTGGAGCAGGGAAGGCCCCTGAGCCATCTCAGGGGTCCCTTCCCCACTGGGAATTATTTTAGAGACAGAGAATCGAGGTTGTCTTTGTGCCCGTCCACCACATCGTCACCTTCTTCAGATGCCGATGACAGGTTCCATGAGGGCCTGCTGAGAGCCATCCAGGCACTTCATGGAAGTTGTCAGGAGCAGCTGGAATGTGCAGGTGTCTTGTACTCAGCATCTGAGCCACTCCCACAGGGCGCTGAAAGGTAGCACTTCACAGATGGTGACAAAGCCCAGGAGGCCACGGGACCCCAGATCCTCATGTGGAGGCTGCAGCCACAGACTCTCCTGGATCCTCGTCTCAGAAGCCAGGGTCTTTCCCCTGTAGCCACTACGATTTGGATATCATTGAAGAACTTGTTGGCTGCAGCAAGGAAAGGCCCAGGGTCCACAGTCTACAGATAATCAGTTCTCAGACATTTTGAGATCATAAACCCCGTGAGGAGTGAGGAAAACTATGGGCTATTTTGTCCAGAAAAATATGCAAGTGGTGGACAAACACAGTCCCGCCTCACTGACTGGCTGCTTTGTACAAACATACCCCTTGAGCATCCACACTGGGAACTGTCCCTCTGAAGTGATGCTTGGTGGCTGTCCCTTCTGAAAGGTGTGATTATGGTGTGGGGGAGAAAGCCACTCTCAGGCTCAATCTCGTGGATTAGTCAAAACACGCAGCAATGGCCGCAGTGCAGGGCCAGGCTTGCTAGAAGTGGTCACCGTGATCCCAGGGCTATGCGTGCCTTCCCGTCATAACAGCCTTTACTAGCATGTGAAGCCCTCAGAACCCATCAGCAGCAGGACTAGTGAAAGGCACTGCCACAATGACGAAGCGCTATACAAGGTGTGTTCCTGGAAGAGAACGGGCGACACACATGAACCGGGAGAACTCAGAGCACCCGAGCTCTTCTCAATTCAGATGGTCTCGACTACTTTGATTTTCTCTCCTTGTTCACCCATTTGGAGTCCTTCTTCCTTTCTTAACATGGCAAAAAAACATTTTAAGATGACAATGGAAATATAGCTTCCCAAGAACACTCTGGTGCAGGGTGAACCAGGCAGATGCAGGCTGTGGCCACAGAAAGAGGAGTAGGAAGATACCCCAGTAAAGAGAGCCTCAGCTCCCACAGAAGCTCCCTCTACCCCGCTGTGCTCAGGCAGGAGGGAGCGCCCCGCCCTCCTGGCCCAGCCTCTGGGACTCGGAGCTGAGTCTTCCACTGTATCAGACAAGCAGGAAAATCCTCAGTGACTTCAGACATCGTACCAGGCCCTGGCCGCTGGGCCATGGGGACAGTGAAGTGACGTGGCTTGCTGGTTGGCCTTCCACCCTGTTCGGCAGACCCCTCTGTGGGCTGTCCATCAATAGCTGCCTCTTCTCTCTCTGCATAAGCAGGAGCCCTTGCTGGTGTTGCCCAGGAAGTCAGGATCCTCCTGGTTTGGGCTGGTTCAGCCTCCATCCTGGGAATTTTCTTACTGCCTTTTGTCCCTAGAAAACAGTGTGCAAACTAGAGATGCAGCTCCACGGTTTCCAGACCCTGTTATTCCTAGGTCTACAAGCCACGAAAACCAGACTTCTTCTGACTCTTTTCTCCTGTGAGGTGATTGGCCACGAGAGCCCTGGGGCTGATGGTCTGCAGAGGTGCACACAGGGGTGCTCTCTGTGGCTCTCAGACTTGCAAAAGGGATCTGGATGTGCAACAGATGGTGGAAAACTTGGCACGCAATGTGGATAAAAAGTGTGCCGCGGAGTGTAACTGGCAGGCCTGTGCCCCAGAGGCCCTGCAGACACACGGGCATGTGGGGCCTGGTACAGCTGCAGGCGCTCGCAGAGACACGAGTGAGAATTACACAGCACCTGTCCAGTGCCTCTGGCTCAAGCCCTGGGTGAGTCTGCTGTTTGTCCAGCACCTGGACCC